ATCATATTAAAGACAAATACAAGGAAGGAAATGTGATCGAATTTTATAAATTTCTGAACTCTGAGCAATTTCCAAATTTAAAGAAATTTGCTTGTAAATTTATCTCCATTTTTGGGACGACGTATCTGTGTGAACAAACTTTTCCCTCAGATGAAGTACATCAAGTCGAAATACAGGGCAAATTTATCTGATGAACATTTAAAGTCACTACTTGTGATAAGCTCTTCAAAATTTGAACCTCAGTTTAATCAGATTTTAAGAATGCAAAAAGAGTTCCATCATTCACATTAATCTTACATTCAAATCTTACATTCACATTAATTGTTTTAATATAATTTGTGATGAAAATATGAGCATTTGCTGCTACTGTCTGTTGTCATTAATATACGATAATTTATTCTCACGTACTTTGTATTTAGTTTATGAAATTCTGTGCTTTCAATAAAACTCATATATCTAGAGTTATTGATTTCTCATTTTATCTGGCCCGTTGAAAGTGCTGAATTACCTAATGTGGCCCACGGTTCGAAAAGTTTGGAGACCCCCGATCTAGGCAGTCGGCTCAAAGATGGTGATAAGGTTGTCAGCATTTGCGCCGGCTGCGCTTTACTCCCCAGGAGAATTATTTAAACTACATATATGTTACTGTCTCGTCACCAAAATGCAGGGCAAAATCATGACATAAAGATAGGAAACAGATGTTTTGAAAATGTGGCACAGTTCAGATATTTGGGAACAACGATAACAGATCAAAACCTGATTCAGGCAGAAATTAAGAGGCGATTGAACTCTGGTAATGCTTGCTACCATTCAGTCCAGAACCTTTTGTCTTCTCGCCTGCTGTCTAAAAACATAAAAATTAGAATATATGAAACTATAATTTTGCCTGTGGTTCTGTATGGGTGTGAAACTTGGTCTCTGACATTAAGGGAGGAACATAGACTGAGGGTGTTTGAGAACAGGGTGTTGAGGAGAATATTTGGACCAAAGAGAGATGAAATCACAGGAGGTTGGAGAACACTGCATAATGAGAAGCTTCATAACTTGTACTCTTTTCCAAGTATAATTAGAATGATCAAGTCGAAGATGAGGTGGGCAGGTCATGTAGCACGAATGGGGGAGACGAGGAATGCGTATAGGATATTGGTGGGAATGTCAGAAGGAAAGAGACCACAAGGAAGACCAAGGCATAGGTGGGTGGACAATATTAGAATGGATCTTAGAGAGATAGGATGGGATGGTATGTATTGGATAAATCTGGCTCAGGATAGGGACCAGTGGAGGGCTCTTGTGAACACGGTGATGAACCTTCAGGCTCCATAAAATGCTGGGAAATTCTTGAGTAGCTGCAGAATTGGCGGCTCCTCAAGAAGGGCTCAGCTCCATGAGTAAGTAAGTAAGTACTTATTTCTCTTAGAGGCTGAGTCGACCCCAGGGCCATAGTGCAGCTGGAAGGATTAGGTCAAGTGAAAAAAATCAAATGTGACAAATATAAAACTGAATTTAAATCTTAAAATCAATTGCCTGACAGCCAAAGTTTATATTATACCCAGAATGTATAACATTTCCCCATCATAATCCAGTACGTGGTTCAAGGTAAAAGGGGAGGGGAAAGTTAACTCTGAACTTAATTAATTAAGCACTGTGGCCTGAAGACATGTGGGGTAGTGGAGTTATAGCTCCAACATTCTTAACCTTGGCAGTAGATGGAGGTGAATGGTCAGCTTCATGGCATGGCCGTTTTACCCCTAAATAAGCAGTCCATCATGTAGGAAGCTGGATGGGTGCTAGAGCTCTTGAGGACACTGTGGAGAAGAGAAAAATCTCTTGGCTCTGCCAGGAATGAAACCCTGTTTCCTTGGTCATCCAGCCCGTAGCCCAGTTGCTATACCTACAGAGGAGAGCCAAAACAGATTTGGCAAGACTGCTGAACTTGTGTTCATGGTAAACATAAAATGGACCAGATAATTTGACACAGTATATATGGTAGGCATTGTTTGTTTATGCATATATATATAGTATGCATAAAATGTAGAATTTAATATGCTGTACAGTGTGCAGATGTATGTGGTTGTATTGATCTCTATCGACTGGAGTGTTTGTGTGGACTGCAGTTGGCCTCCAACATATTCCTCCAAAATGCTGATATCTTTATGCAAGTCTGTAAGGTGTCACACCCTGGAAGATCACTGTCTGAACAATCACCAGTGTAAAGACCTCAAAACTATAACAGTCGGATACTGTTAACACTTCGCGGACCGGACACCTAGGCCTAGGCATTTGAGTTTTAAACATGGCAGACCGGTCGTCTAGATTTAGGCTTTTAGGACACGTTATGTTGCAACACACTGTTCCTCACTTTGGTGGCCACGTGTCTGCAAAAGTACTGTGTAGCTGACCTTCAGAATGTTTGTTTTCCGAGTCAGCAATGTGACCACTCTCTATTCCCCTCTCACTTTAAAGAAAAGTCCCTTTGTTCAAGTCGAAGCTTCTATGTGTGAGGCAAGATATTCTCAGTGTCAACATGGCTCAGAGACAAAAGCAGTTGAAGGCCGCGCGAGCTCGTGGAGAAGAAGAAATCTGTGATTTGATCTCCGATGAGTTATCTGACTTGCCAACTGCTTCGTCTTCTGATAGCGAGGGCAGTGTCAGTGGCAGTGACAGGGGCCCCCAAAATATTGTGACCAGAAGAGAAAGTGAAAGTGACAGTGAGAGCTCCGATGAAAGTGCGAGTGCTAGCATTGCGGGGACAGCCACATGGGGTAAAGTGGACAAAACACCCACTTTGGGAAAGTTTACTGGTGATCCAGGGGTGAGACAAATGCCATCGGACCCTACGCAAGTGTCTGAAGTAGCTGAACTGTTTTTTGGAGATAGTTTCTTTGACATGTTGTGTCAGGAGACCAACAGATACTATCTCCAACACCGTGAGGCGTACGACAGTACCTATAAGGTGTTGAAGTGGGTGGATGTCACTTCAGCAGAAATGAAAACATTTTTGGCAATAATCATTCTAATGGGGTTCACAAAGAGGGATAATTTGAAAGACTATTGGTCCACTGATCCAGAGAGGAATGTTTCCAGAAATATCACACTCTGAAGCACTTCTAGGAGCTCTGGTAAGTCTTCTCCAAAAATTTTAGTTCATAAAATTAATTAGGAGAGTTTATATTAATTTTTAAGTGAACAGTGCACAAGTTAGGGTAGTAGGTTTAAAAACGCCGGTCCCCAGGGTGATATAAATATTTAAATCACCGGTCTGCGAAGTGTTAAAAAGGACGTTTTTCATGTGAGATCTTCTCCAGAATCTTTCTTTGTGTCAACTGTCAGAAATATAATAATTTTATTTTTATTTTCATATAGAATATGAAAGGTGTTCGACTGCGAGTCCGTGATTCCAGCACTGACGTTCTTCCAGAACGTTATGGAGTTCGTAGAAAGCCACGAAAATATCTGCTTCCCATTCCAGCATCTTACTTCGTTGCTGTACTGTGCTTCCTTTTTTTTGTGTTTGTTGTAATTGTGTTGGTGGAGAGAAAACTGCCGACGCCTTTAAGATTAGTGGATGCTCCAAGTAACCCTGAAAGTTTTATAGCTGAAAGGGCTATGAATCACTTGATGAGGCTAACAGATATAGGGCCTAGAACTACAGGAAGCTATGAAAATGAAGTTTTGGCTATCAAGTTCTTTGAAGAAGAAATCAGCCACATTATGGACCAAGCGAAACCAGTTCATAGAGTTCAGGTGGATATCCAGAAAACCAGTGGGGCCTTTCCACTACATTTCTTGGATGGTATGACAAATGTGTATAGAAATGTTCAGAATGTAATCGTTAGAGTGAGTGCCAAGCACAGTGAGTCTCCACACAGTCTTCTGGTTAATTGCCATTTTGATACTGTTTCTGGCAGTCCAGGTGAGTCTTATTGTCATATAATTTAGTATTAAATTAGACTTTCTGACTCCAATATTCATGTTTCATGTATGGAATGAAAATTTGTGGGATGGTTGGAAATTATTTGGCAAGAGTATAAATTGTGTGAGAAAAGCCATTAAAGATGAAATGTCCGACATTACACAAAGTCAAGTTCAAAATAAGATTCCATATCTGCTTATTTTTGTTGTGTCTCTATTGAAAAATTGCAAAGATTCACCTGTTAGCCTCACCATGTCTGCCTGTGTGTCCGTCCGCATGTTACAGAGAACCTCTCATGGATTGTCATAAAATTTGATATTGAAGAGTTATTGAAACTTGTTGGCCCTTTCCAATTATGTTTTGAAATCAGACTGCAATAAATGAATGCCACATGACGATCTGCATGGGTTTAAGTGCACATCTCGGTTGTAACTGGTCAAATATCCACTGAAGAGAAATGTGTCTGGAGCAAACATTATAGGGGAAAATGAATGGTACATCAATTGTCAATAGATTTTCCGTCAAGTGCAACAATATATATTTTGGTCACTTATTTATCTCATCTGCCTTACATGTTTCGGTTCCAAGGAACCATCTTCAGAGGCACTTACAACAAATCATGAAAACACTGGCACAGCTCAACATCCACAGTATGTAATTATTTGTGGAAACTATTACATATATCGGAGTGTGAAGCACAACACTTCCCAGTATCTTGAATGCAGGTATAGCACTTGCATCTAAAAAACCACCCTCAAACCGAGTCGTCAACGTTAAAATTTTTTAAGTTAAATTTTTTTTTTTAAAAAACGTTCAAGTAAAATATTCAGGCTCCTTCTTGGTGAATCGTCCCAATGGGGGGAGGCGTCAGCACGGGGATGTGTGGGCTTGTGGTCGGGTGTATCTTACGCGATGTGTATTGTGTACTCGAATGGTACATTTTGATGCCCAATACAGGGAAATGTATCAGAATTGTCTACATTTCCTAACATGTTGAATTGTCTTACTCTGTTCTAGTATGAGACATCAAGGAATTGGCTGTACAAGGAAGTGCTTTCCATATGTTTGTATTCATTTCAGTGTTCATATGAGAATTTACAACAGTTAGGGAACTCATAACCTGATGGGTTGAACCAGTTGTCATGATTCCTATTTAGGAAATTACAGGCTCATTTCATAGCCTGAAGTCTTCGCTATCCTGACAGTCATTCTCCAGTTTCAAAATGGGGGTGGTAGCAAAGGTGTGTCCTTAAGAACTGGGTTCAATATAGGCACATAAAAAAGTAAAAAGTAAAGCTATCCCTGTAACAGGCTGTGGAGGCCCATAGGGTTGTGAGATGTTGAGGTTCCCACAATTTCTAGACAAGCAGCTCACAGATGGCAGTGAGGTTGTCAGCCTTATATGAAGTACTTGAAGAGACTTCCTATTCCACTGCCACTTCATTCACCACAAATTCCACATGGAATGCCCAGGGATTGAACTGGGCCTCTTTAGTGGGCAACTAACTGCTTGAGCTGCGGTGCAGCCTAGGTTCATTTATTGAAAACATCAGGAGTTAATCTAATGCCAGTCACTTGAGTAATCACTGTAGTATCATAATCTGTTTAGCAGCTGTGTGTAATGTTAAGATGAACTTTGCAGCACCATTCATTGAAGCACTTCTTCTTTAGGAAGATAATGGAATAATTTTCATGAATTTACTGATAAGATACAAACTTTGCTTTGAACTTCTTTAAATACTGGGGAGAAAGTCTGTTCAGAGGAACAGCAACAGAGCATTCAGTTCTTGTTAGTTCAAATTTCTGTTCAACTGTCCAACACTAACCACCCTAATTTGTGTTCCTGAAGTATCTGGTTCAGATCTCAGCTGAGACACCTGCTATCCTGACCAATTTTTTTTTAGTTGAGTTCCGTAGATCCTTCGAGCATATTCCAGAATAATACACAAAATTAAACCATGACCATTTCCTTTTGAATGAGCTACTGACAGAATCATGAAATAAATGGCAGAAAATAAAATCTCACCATCCCATGGCATGTCAAGGGAATAATACAGGGTACACAAAAGAATGGTGCGGTTTCAAAAGTTAATAAAAATTTTATTTCTCAACTTACATGGTCACAGCGCACACCATCAGAAGCGGCAACTCTCCAAGTTTCTCATGCGTTAATTACAAACCTTCAATGTGTGCATCCTGGGTCACATGACACATCCACGCAGTAATCAAACTCTGCTGGAAATGGAGAAAACAACCTTCTCCCTTGGCCACCCAGTTCGCCAGATCTTACACTGTGCAATCTCTTTCTTTTCGTTAAAGACAGCGTTTATTTACCACCATTGTCCACGTCCATCCATGAACTTCGTGATTGGATAACGCATGCATTGCAGGCCATTACAGTGGACATGCTACACCGGGTGTGGGATGAGTTTAATTAGCATGTGGATGTGTGTTGTGCAGACCCAGGGTGCACACATTAACGCATGAGAAACTTGGAGAGTTGCCGCTTCTGACGGTGTGCGTTGTAAACGTGTAAGTTGAGAAATAATATTTTTATTAACTTTTGAAACCGCAAAATTCTTTTGTGTATACCCTGTATATACATTTTTAAAAATGTACATTTGCAGGAAACATTTATTTTTGGGTAAAGGGTTATTTTATAATACAGTCAGTACCTAGACTATGTAACATTGAATGGTGGGATGATGAGTGGTGGATTGGTAAGGATTTGGAAGGAAACATTCATGGTCTGATTGTGAGGTATTTGCCTGAAGAGACTGAGGAAAGTCACAAAAACCTGATAGAACAGCCAGTTTCCCATCTGAGATTTGAACCAAGCATCTCCCAAATACAAGTTAAGAATATTATTGCTAGACCAGCCTGTTTGGGAGAAAATGAGGCACTAACAGGATCTGATTCAGGGGCCAGAGTTGGTGGGGGGGATGAAGAAGTAGAGGGGGAAAAGTAGGAAATCTGAGTGAACCATGTTTTAGTTTTCTTCTTTTGCTTCCTCATTTTAACCCCTGCCCTGCCCTCTGAATCTGTTTGGTGGAGGAGATCAGTTGCAAAAACTTTCTTAAAACAACACTGAGACATTGGCATGCAGTCATGCTCATAGTATGAAATAGAGGAAGAAATTTTGACTGATTTGTTGCCTGGACCTCTTTTCTGTACTGAAAAATGCTAACGTAGAGGCCATACAAACTAGAAGTTTTCTATTGGAGACAGGCGTCAGGAAATAAGGTGTGATTTGGTTTGCTTAGTCTTATCTCTGTCACATTACTGCCCTTATCTTGTCAGTAATCCCTTTGTTACACACAGGGCATCTTGAAAGAGCACTTGGATTTACAGACTGTAAGCAAACTAACGTAGGATAATGATACATGTCATATAAAGTTGCTGTTCAGACAGTTGCAGCACATCACGGGAACTTCTGTTTACATAATTTGATATCAGCATCACATTTACATCATATTTACATATCAGCCCTTTCCTGAGTTTTTGGAAAAGAAACCAAAATTGAAATAAAGAAGGAAATCTACAAAATATGAATTTAAAAAATTACAATTATATTAAAAGAACATATTCTTCTGTCCCGAATGCCATAGGGCAGTCAGAAAAATTAATCTTAAATTGCTTAAATGCAAGTTTGTAAGCAAATTTTGCAGCTGCCTCTCCCATGGAAAAGATCCTGATTGCACCCCTGTCCGGAATGGGTATACGGTAGCGTAGTGGGTAAGGTACTATGCTACAAGCCGGAAGGTGGCGAGTTCAAGTCCCGATGAGGTCATTGGATTTTTTCAATTGACCTAATCCTTCCAGCCGCACTAGGCCTCTAACAGAAATGAGTACCGGAATTAATTAATAATTTTCCTGGGGAGTGAAGCGCGCCTGGCGCGTAAGGCTGACAACCTTACCACCATCTTTGAGTCGATTGTAATGTGGGACCCTTACCGTCTCACAACACTATGGGCCTCCACGGCCTGTTACAGGGATAGCTTTACTTTACACCTGTCTGGAAAGAGATTTTATGCATTAAGTCATATTATTTTCTGGCTTAACATTCACTAAGCACAGGAAATTTATACAACGTTCATATCAGACTTTGGATGAAACCACAGAAATGTTAACTAGAGGTGGGGATACTAAATCAGGATTTGACTGTACATACATTTTTCAGAAATCTATCACAGTATTTCCATTTTCTGACTCTTATTAGTACTGTTAACGTTTATTTATTTTTCTTAAAAATTGCAGTATAATACGTGATAAAATTATTTCAAAATGTCACAGCACATATCAGTGTTGAGTGCAAAACCAAAAATTATAAGCTTATAGACTCATAATAAAACAAAGTGCAAAGCAAGAGGAATGTTTAACAGCTCTGACAAAATTAGAAGAAATTTACTCATCACTTTTAATTTTTCTTCACCTAATCATTTCGCAAACCTGTTACTGGAGTTGTTTTCATACAAGTCACTTTTATCATGACCTGTGATGTAAAGGAAATACATTGTAATAGTTTCTGAAGGGCTTTCTGGTGATGATGCCTCTTAAAAATAAGTTGTATGCAGTATTCCTCTTCTGCTTAATGTTACAATGTTTGGATTTCTGAACCAGCCACAAAAGTAAATGAACAGTTATATGCAAGAAAGATATATCATTTTTGAGGAATTTTTATATTGTTACTGATTTGATCAATGCATTGCAGGCAACAGCTCCGTAAACATGATCCCACCTAAAGCGCCCCCTGCTGCCCCCTTGCCTCTCAGTCCCCCCCTCAGGTAACCATACCATCTCCCAGGGGGTGGTACAGCCCACTTTGGGAATCACTGATTTAAAGTATATTTTACTGAACTGATATGATATTAAATTTATGTGACAGCTTTTGGTGTAGACACAAGTACTAAATTTCATTGAAATCTGTTGAGTGGTTCTGGGGATAAACATGTGAGCAGATGGGACCTCTTCATTTTACATTCATTCTGTACGCTTTTTGCAGGCTGTGTGACCTGGTGTAAGTCGTGCTTTTATATCAGCTGTCTAATGCTTGCATTTCTTATGCTAAGTATGAATAAAAATCAGGATTTAATGCAAAGAGATGTTTTCAGGGGGCAGTGATGATGGAGCCAGTTGTGCTATTATGCTGGAGATTCTCCAGATCATCACACAGCTGGATCAGCCGCTAAAACACAACTTAATCTTGCTCTTCAATGGCGCAGAGGAAAATCTGATGCAGGTGATATATCACACCTTGTATTGTATATGGTTAAGTTGTCCCTGTGCTTAATTACACATTGTGCCATGAAGATATGCAGGTGAGAAGAGCTCCAGGCATTCGTAACAGCCATGGATGGAGGTGAGTGGTCAGCTGCATGCGTTGGATAATTTATCCTTAGTCTGCAGGCTCCTGGAGTCCACTCGTTAGTTGTGTTATGGGTAATAATTTAGTGCATATAAAAGAGAAGTTAATTCACTTTGCTGTTGGTGTTTTATTTTGCAAACTATTCATCTGGTACCTGTGGACATGGGCAGATACAGTATCGTAAACTGGCACTGTGAACTTGATGCAGTGTTGTGACAGATTATGAAGTTACATTTTGATAATGTAATGCCATCCATCATGACATCCTTCATATGGTTTAAAAGGTGTGCTTTCCAATTGCAGTTTATTAAAAATAAAGTGGGACCCCATTTTAATTGTATTCTAAAGGGTTATGATGGTGGTATATGACACTCAGGGTAGCTGGGTTTTTGGACTTGGTCCATTGTCTGGAATATAAAAAGAGAACACAACATTTTGGAAACTGGATCTGTTTTCATCCTCATCTGAGGATGGAAACAGATCCCGTTTCCAAAACATTGTGTTCTTTTGTGTTTTTTTAGAATACCAGACAATGGATAAAGTCCAGAGACCCCATAACCCCCTCACTTAATGTTTCTCAGTTTAAGGTTTTCCCTTATTTAAGTTTTATTGATCCTAAGTCAATAATTTCAGGGGTAAATTACCTCCATCGTAACATTTTCTTCAATTTAGTCTTCATAACCACTGCTGTTGTAAGAGACTTTAAATGAGGTCACACACTATATATAGTGTATATATATTAGATTTGTGTTATTGTATTTTGATTATTTATCATATTCAGCTTTTATTTTTCACATGTCTGTTGTGTTACATTTTAAAAGTAAGGTATGTGTGTATACATGTTTATATGCTTGAAACAAGATAACTGTTTTATATTGTTAATTGAATTGCATCACTCAGTGTACATTGCTGCTTTGTGTAACGTATCTTGTCCATTGTGGTATTGTGTTATACTACTAGACAAGAAGTATTATTGTATTCCTTGCATTCACAAATGTTTCCTGGTATACTCTGTGTGTTGCAGGCATCCCATGGATTCATAACACAACACAAATGGGCGAATGAAGTAAGGGCATTCGTTAACTTGGAGGCATGTGGAGCTGGTGGCCGGGAAATCTTGTTCCAGGCCGGCCCAAGACACCCGTGGATGATGCAGGTATATTCTGCTCCAATTGGGTATCATGGTTTGAATATGACAGTAAAAAATATGTTATTTATTATTGTAGTGTCTTTGTATTTTTATTATAGAGAAAACATGATAAATGCTGTAGAACAGGTTACCTTAAAAAATGCAGTAAATGGATTCACTTTGTCTTCCTCCAGAATTATGCATTGATTTCTTGTTTCCCACATCCATGCAACATATTAGCTTATCATGACCTCCTACATATGCTGATTCTCACATGTTACTTATCTCACATATTTCATTTCTATTAGATCTTAGTATTGTGTAGCATAACATATGATGATGATGAAGATTTTTGTTTGTTCTTGTTTACAAATCTAAAGACAGGGTTTGGATTGGTAATTGGTTTATTGGATCATCACTAGTCGTAACTACACTTAATTATTACACTATTGCGGGTTTATGCAATTTACAATCACTACACGCTAAGGTCCCTATCTGCAGTAGTCTTCATGTATTTATAACACGGGAACTATACAAGTCTCGCTGTACTACTGTACACATGAAGTCTTCTATTTCATATGCAAGCGCTTCGCAGGCTGACCTCCTGTACTCCTAGTTTCAATTCACTCTTCCAGCTTACGACTGACTTCAGCTTCCTGCTTACTTTGGAATTCTGTTCACTTTTATAGGCATGGGGCAGACAAAGTATCATAGTAAACACATGTCATGTGATTTCTACCCACTACTGTTGTGTGATGTCACAGCATGCATTGCATAGCAGCGGTCTGTCCACAAACATAGAAAACACTGTTCCTGTACTGTTGACCGCATGTGTGTTGCGGGCGTTTTCTAGCAGTGGCCGATGTTTACAGATTTACTGCCTAGCAGTGGGTCTATATGCCACAATATCTATGTGTGTGTCTCTGTAACAGGCCATAGAGGCCCATAGAGTTGTGAGGTGTCAAAGCACCCACATTTTATAGACAGTCAGCTGACAGATGGCGGTGAGGTTGTCAGCCTTACTTGATGCCTGCCCTTTACCCCCAGGAAGATTCGTGGCACTCCTTTCTGTTAGAGGCTGAGTCAGACCAAGTGCCATAGTGCGGCTGGAAGGATTAGTTCAATTGAAAAATCCAGTGACTTAATTTGGAATTGAACATACAACCTTCCTGCTTGTAGCATAGTGCCTCAACCATATATATATATATATATATGTGTGTGTGTGTATAATATCTTTTTCATGGATTTTGATTTTCATTTATCATATAATTATTTTTTTCTATTTATGTTTCTAAAATTATGATTGAGACAGTTATACATTATGATATGTATAATAAATTAACATCATCAGCATTTAATTGTCTTGTGCCAGTCAGTTCCCTGGATTGTTGTAGGCTGTTTATGGTAAATTGAACTAAGCATCTTTTGCTTTGATAATAGTAGCAATTTTATATTATTCTTGCAGGGATATTCTGCACAAAACAGATAAATTTATACAGGTAAAAGTTGCATTTGTTAGGATTATAGTGCAGTACAGCACAGTGATACACAATACAATACAGTTTTTTTCAGTTTAAATGTTTCTCTTTATGGTGTACATGTGTATAATTGATAATTTTGGACCAGAACACCACATCTCATTAGGTTTTATTTTCAACTCAGTTTCAAGGATCCCAAAATGGTTGGAGGTGTTTGCTGTGTCTATGGAAATACACTGCTCACACCTGTCAAAATAATTTGCACTATTTGTTGGTCATTTTTCATAGTACCAGTAATTAAATTCTCAAGTTCTGTGTAATGGAAACCTTTTCAAGGTCCATTGAAATTCACTGTAACAAGATACTATTATATTCCTTGTAAAAAACAGTGAATCTTACTGTTAGTTTTTATGCAGTGAATTTGTATCAGAAAAGTAATTGACTGACATCTGTTGTGTGCTTCCAGACCTACTCAGAGTCTGTTCCATACCCATATGCCTCTTCACTAGCTCAGGAAATTTTTCAGAGTGGAGTTATCCCTGGTGACACGGATTTCAGGATATTCCGAGATTTTGGACATGTTTCAGGTAGTGAGTCCATTCTGAAGCTCTGTGTTTGGACATATCATATGAACTTTTCTAATGCTTTTCTTCATTTTAGGACTTGATTTTGCATGGTCAAAAAATGGCTATGTTTATCACACCAAGTTTGATAACGTAAGGCAGATTCCTCTCGGCACATTGCAGAGGACAGGGGATAACATCCTGGCACTCACCAAGGGCCTTGTTAACAATGATAAGATGGCTAACACAGAGAAATATGCATCCGGCAATCTAGTGTTCTTTGATTTTCTTGGGGCCTTTGTGATCCGCTGGTCGGAGGGCACCGCCATGCTCATCAATACCCTTGCTGTGGCTGTGTCAATCTATTGCCTTTTCAAGAACATGAAGGCTTCTGTAACAAGAGGTGAGACATTCATCTTGCTTCACTATGTCTCATGAGACTGGAGCTCATATGCATATACATATACAGTTTCACAGGACATAATCCAGTAAAGAGTGAGGCAAGTCAAAGCATGGGACAAGGGTAGCAAACAAACTTTTCAGCATTTGATGTTGATGTGTGCAACTGATAGAATCCTGAACTGTTTTCATCTTCATACACTACAGGGCATTCTGTTTTTGCAAGAAATTTGAATTGTTTCTGACGTAATTGTTGGTTGTTGTGTTAATGTCTAATTAAGCAAGGAGCTAAGTAGATATATATGTGACACCCCAAGGAACACAGTCCTCCTTTAGACTGCAAGAAATCCCCTTCCTTTTATGAAACCTTGACCGTCTCTGTGGTCTAGTGGTAAGAGTTCCTGGGTACAGATCCAGAAGTCCTGGGTTCGATTTCCAACGCTACCAGATTTTCTGGGAAGTAGTGGGTCTGGAACAGGGTCCACTCAGCCTTGTGATGATAATTGAAAAGTTGTTTCAAGGAAATAGCGGCTCCAATCTAGAAAACCAAGATTAACGGTCGTGGGGATCTGTTGTGCTGACCACATGACACCCTCTATCCGCAAAAGTTGGCACTAACTTCACCGGCAAGTGCCAGTCACTCGGTCAGTATAGTTTGCTTGTGGACTACAGACCACAGAGTTATGGAACCTCAAGTTTAATCATTGTGCTCACAAGTGCTGGTCCTGAGCTAGATGAATCGAGTTCACATCATCTGGCTGAATTTTTTAAAGTCCATTTAAATATTATTCTCCTTCTCTGCTTAGGTCTCCGAAGTGGTCTGTTCCCTTTAGTTTTCTAATTGAAATTTTGTGTGCATTTTTCAATTCTTCCATACACATTACATGCCCGGCCCACTGTGTCCTCCTTGGTCTGATCTCCCTAACAGTACTTTGTAAGAATTACAAAATTTGAAGTCCTTTCATTACTCGATTTTCTTCTGAATCCTGTTACTTTCTTCCCCGTTCTCAAGTGGCACATTTTGTCTTCTTCCTTTGGGATAGAAGAACAAGTTTCCAGTTTTCCAGCATAGTACTTATTAGGCCAAAATCTAATATGGTAGTACTCTGTTATTATGCAGGTCTCAGGAGACAGAATGAAGACCTGTGTTATCAGCATCGTTCAATATTTCGGGAAATTTTACAAGAAATAATTTTTTTATATGAAAGATTTTGTTAATAACAAATTTAATATCAAATTACAGTAGAAAGTTATATCAAATTTATGTTTAATTGTGTGCTTTATTTATTCGGTGTTTTTAAAATAGCCCAATATTTTCTTTTGGTATGACACCTGATGACATTTCTTTGTCATGTACATCGTACTGTTTTGCAAATGTTAAAGATGGAGACCATCACAGTGACTGTCTTCCTATCCAAGTGACTGACTAGATTCAGTAAAATTTGGAACAAAGTTGTTTGCAAAGAAAATAAATTGAATCATTTTGGGAGGCATGACTAGACTCATGGTATATCTTAATCTGCAGTATAGTGAGGCATATTACAACAGAGTTTTACTGTAGTTGCAATAAATACACAAGCTACATGCATTTATAATAACATGTACGTCTTCTGTTATATTGCTACAGACTGACATTTATGTGCAAAAGAATTCCATTTTTTGTTGTCCTGCTGATAGAATTCCATAGTTCTTGCAAAAAGATACTCTGTTGTCCTGGTGTGAAAAAGATTAATTGTGATGAAATTGTGTTAAATAAAGAATTCTTAAAAAGAATGAGTCTTATAAAGTATGTGTAAAATTGAAGGAAGGAAGGAACATGTGAAAAAACAATACTTTTTAAAAGACGTCTAGTGTATGTTTCTTTAAATGGTTCTGTGAATACTTGTATCCTCAATACCACTTTTCCTTTGATTATATATACAATAGTTGTAAGGCCAGTATGCCAACACAAAGACACTTTTTTTTTAATTTCACCCTTTTGTGATTGTGGTTAAAGGTTGATGTAGCTTTTGAGAGTGTAGTGAGAATGTACAGTGTTACCAGTAACACTGAGAACAGTATTGGTTGAACATCTGTACATTGTGAGAATACAATGCCTATGTTCACATGACAGTTGCACCTTAGTAAAAGTTTGCTTGACAAGCTGTATGTGTTCCATATGACATGACTGTTCCCCATGTTTAAGTGTCAGTAATATTCACTTCGTACGGTCACTGAATTGTATTTATGTTTCTGAGACCTTTAATCACAGTGAGATTTTATGAACCATTCCTTGCTATGTGGAAAGATGGTGTTTGTAAACTAATCATGAATTTTGAAATTGGCTTTGACTTCCCTCATTCTGTACATTCTTACTATGTAAATTTCTTTGTCATTGATTCCATTCTGTGGTAACATGATGTTAATGGTTTGTGGTCTCTCTCATCCAGATATGGAATACACAGTTTATGTGCGACAGCTGGCGATCTCAAGTAGTGTGGCCATAGGCTCCTTATTGCTAATACTGCTGGCCAACTTTCTAATAGCTTTGACTCTCACCGCTCTTGGCCGCTCCATGAGTTGGTTTGCACGTCCTGTATGGATTTTCTTCCTATATATCTGCCCCACACTTTTTGTACCCATGGTTCTTCTGTTGCTAGTGTCTCGCTGGCAAAGATCTGTAAGTAACCACCATGCTTTGTCATATGTCAGGTCTTGTTACCTGTTGTACTGTGTTATATCTGTCTCAGCATTGCCATAAATTTCTTATATGCATGAAGATGGGTGTAGAAGGTGTATGGTGTTGGATCACATTTAAATTAATCAAGCAAGGTTGGATTTTGATGGAATTATTAGCCAACAGTCCCTACACTAAAGTGTTCTATACCATTCTTATATTCTATTTGATACCATGGTTAATGTTTCTTGCTGTAGAAGGAAAATTTTAAAATTTCAGTTCCTTCTGATTAATGATATGTTTCACAATATGTGGGGCATACCACATTCTTGCATCGTTAAAGGAATTAAAGACTGAAGAAGATCTTATGATACACTTTGGTTAAGGCTCGTATTGTGAAGGTTAGTGTTGCAGGCTATGACTTATCAAGCTGTTCTGTCAAAGCTTCGTAATGTGAGAGAAATCTAATGAATATCTGAAGGTTTATGGCAGTGACAGGTATGCTGGACATTTGACTTTATCCAACATCCAACATAGTGTTTCGGAAGTTGGCTGTGCTTCTGCTTTCAAAACTGATGGTCATTATATTGACGTATATTTTGTATTTATCTTTTAGATTAGTGACCACAGCTGAAATGTAACCCAAAATTCTTTGAATACTAAGCACTGATGATCTAGTGGTTAGTATGCAAACATAGTATTCAAAAGGTTGCAGATTTATTCACAACTGTAACCACTGATTTGAAAATGAAGAATAAAAAATATGTCAGTACAGTGTCAACCAATTTTTGGAAGAAAAACAGATCCAGCTCCCAAAATGCCATGTATATGAAATAGTACTCACACAGGGGATGGTGTGCAACATAATTGTAGTACAACAAAATAATCCTCTCTGGCAAGATAAGCAAGGACTCCTGAGTAGAATTTAGAAAGCTTGCTTCTCTGTTGCATAGATTTATAGTCTCATGTCTGTTATTCTCTTATTGTTATATTACGAAGGTCGCTCAATAAGTACCTGTGTTTGAAGACAGGTGGCGTTGCTGAGGGAAGTTGGCATTACCATCGTGTACGGCCATCTGTCAAACGACACCATACTAAATTTCAGACTGATTCATAGGTTAATTTTTATTTGGCAGCCTGTTGCATCAGACATGTTTCGTCTTTCTCGATACAATGGAAAAAGTGCAATATCAATCCATAATTCACTTTTTATTTTTGGATGGAAAAACATGCGAAGAAATAAAAGCGAAGTTGGATGCTGTCTATGGGGACCCTTCACCATCTATGACAACCGTGAGATATTGATTCAACAAATTTAAACGTGGTTGTACATCCGTTTTTGATGAGGAGCAGCCAGGCCGCCCGGCAGACATGGTTACCGAGGAAATCGTTGAGAAGGTCCACGACATGATTCTTGCTGATTGCCGAACTAAAGTGTGCGAAGTAGCAGAGGCCGTAGGCGTGTCGTATGGAACGGCAATCAATATTTTACATGATAAGTATGAGAAAGGTGTCGGCCCGACATGTGCCACGATTGCTCACAGTGGACAACAAGCGGATATGGCTGTCAATGTCGAAGCAGTGTTTGGACCTCTTTAAGCGAAATTCGCAGGAGTTTTTGTATTGAGTCGTCACCGTTGATGAAACCTGGATACATTATTATATGCCAGAGACCAAGCGACAGTCAAAACAATGGATTCTTCCAGGTGAATCTGCTCCGAAGAAGGCAAAGACGGTCCCATTGGCCAGAAAGGTCATGGCCACGATTTTTTGGTATTCGAAGGGAATAATACTCATGGACTTTTTGCAGAAAGGAAGAACGACCACGGGGCAGTACTACAGTGAATTATTGGACTGATTCGATAAGAAATTGAAGGGGAGACGGCCCCATTTGGCTAAGAAACAAGTGCTGTTTCACCACAATAACGCACCAGCACATTCATCCGGAATTGTCGCGGCCAAATTGCATGAACTGCACTACGAATTGCTGCCGCACCCACCGTACTCACCCGACCTGGCTCCCTGCGACTTTTTTCTGTTCCCCAACATGAAAACTTGGCTCGGGGGAAAAAAATTCAGCTCAAACAAGGAGGTTATTGCCAAGACAGAAGCGTATTTTGAAGTGTTCGGCAAATCGTATTTTTTGGAGGGGTTAAAGAAATGGCAGAAACGTTGGGAAAAGTGTATCGAAAAGTGTACCCTAACACGGGTACTTATTGATCGACCCTCGTATTTTATTTTTTGTGAATAATTTATTAAGTACAGATTTGTTCTAGAAAATTTTTAGATATAACATGAAAGACTTTTATAATTACTAAGTTACAAACAATATTTCATATGTAATATGTGGGTATTTTTATGATCTATCTTCGTATCAAATTTCACATGCTTAGCTCCAATGGCTTATTAGTTATTTCCATTGAACTGAAAAAGCTAGTGGAAATGTTTGCATTGTCACCACTTTGTCATTTTATGTTCTACAAAGCATTGCTTCAACAGAAGTCGTATATTTTTCCATGATGTAGTATTTACATAATTTCGTGACCTTACAGTAAGTGCCGCTAGTGTCTCTCCCATCTCACAAGTATGCATGTCTGCTGTGTTGTTATTATTGATTGCAGGAAATTAAGAAATACAGTGCTGGTGTGGCCTTCAGTGGCACAACATTCATATTGGTAGCAGAAGTTTGCATGGAAAATGAAAATGAAGTCCAAGATTTCCAAAGAAATCTTTAATGCAGCAGATGTTTACTGTGAACACATTTGTTGCTTTGCTGCATTGTCAGTTCACTGCCCAACACACAGCTGGAATGGTTAAACTATAGCAGACTTGTGCTTGTTTAAGTGCTGGGTTGGACTTTGGAAGGAGACCAATGTCTAGTCCCAACACGTCCAGATTGTAAAATATTCAATGCAATTTATCTTCTGATTGTAGTGACAGCATTAAATAATGGATTAAGAACAGGATCATAACTGGTCATGTAACGAATAAGATAAGGACAGATTGATCTCCTGCCAACTTTTTTAATAACATCAAGAGGATTAATTGATAAGTTGGCAACAGTTCATTGATAAGGAATGTTGGTTATGTAGTGACCTTGCTCAATATGAAAGGGTCCACAGAAGTGATATAGTGTAGATCACATGGCTTCTCTCCCACTCCCCTGTCAGTGATATGCAACAATGTGAGCTTAAAATTTATGTTTTATTAATAATTCTGTATTAGTTTTGGGGGTTTAATGACATTTTATTTTCCCTGAAGTTTAAAAAGGCCAATCCATGTTTCTGATTTACAAGACTAACATGTTTATTGAATTAATCAGTAAACTGTGATGTTTTCGCTGTCTTAGCGAAGATGTGTGACTACTCTGTAGCCCAGTATGGGAATAGAGAAATTGAAAATTTGAATTCAAGTGGTTTTCATTATATGTGATTTGATTGTCCAGGTTTTTGCTTATCCACAGCTTTATTCACTTTCGCAGTGGGAGCTGCCACAGACCCATAATGTTGTGCGAGCCATTTTTTTCACTTGCCCCATCATTTTGACTCCCTTGTGTCGGTTTCTGTTCCTTTTCCACCATGATCATGTTCTTTTAGTGCATTTCCTGTTCTCTCTTTTCATTATACACAATAATTTTCAGGAACTCTGCCCCGACCTACAGGGTGGCCCAAAAGTCAGTTAACTGGTTAGTAAATTATACACTAAAATACATTAGAAATTTCCTTATAACTTACTGAATTTACAGAAATTGTTTAGAGTGAGATCTCCCGTGTTCAGTGCACAACTCACAACGCTGTGATACTGTTTCTCTAAATGAACTGGTAGGTTTAAATCTGAATGTTCTCGTTAATATGTCGGAATGTTTTAGGTTAACTGACTTCTTGGCCACTCCATATAATGAGAGCCACTTTGTGTGTGTGTGTGGTTGGCACTGTTGGAAGTGAAATGTCCATAAGATGTGTAGTAAGATAGGCCGTGGGTTGAAGCACCCCTCTTCATGCATGCTCAGTAGATGGTTTGGTGCCCGTGTGTTGCAGGTGGTGACTTCGGCATGGACATTGTTCCAGCTGTACAGTGATGGTTATCAGATCTTGTGGACACTGATACTGCTGATATGTACTGTGCTACGAATCAGAAGTGGTTTCATTGCATTATTGTGGATTTTTTTCACAATCATTGAGAACTTCTGTAGAACATTATTATTCAGGCATTGGAGGGGTATGTAATTTATTGCTGGCTATTTGATAAATGCAAACTATATCAGATGAAATGTCGATCACAGTTTTCGTGCAGCCTAAGGCATGAACTGTCTTTGCCTGCTCAAACACTGGGATTGTAGATTCAAATCCTACTTGAGGCATGGATGTCTGTGTGTGTTTATTCTGTGATTGTGCTCTCCTGTGTGCGGGCAGTGGCCTTACAACGGGCTGATACCTCATCCAAGGAGTCCTACTGACTGTGTAAAAGATCAAAAAACTGAAAAGTGGCCAAGGCCCAACAAAGGCCTATGGAGCCATAGATAGATAGATACAGTTATCAAGTGAAATGGTTGGGAACAATAAGATAGACAAAATTATGCTGCTGGGTTTCAAGAACTGTCTCCTTTCCTTCCAGCAGTTATGATGGTAGCCTAAGCATTGGTGCACGGTTTTCTTTGAGTAACAGAAAGTTATTCTTCCGATCAATGTGTGCTGCTCGTTCAAAACAAAACAGTGGAGCTTTTGCGAAACGGAGGAGAAGAAACTTTTACTTATGTTGCTTCAGTTGAAATGTCAGGCAGTGCAGTGCTATCTAACAGGCACATTTAGCACTTCACCAGAGAAGTGCTTGTGTATACAGCGAGATCCCAATTTGATATTCCCACATTGACATCCCATATTAAGCGAATATGATTTTGGTCTCGCCCGAAACCCAATATAAACTACGTATTATTCCCATGTTTTGATGAATATTGGTTTAGTGAAGAGCCCACATTTTGTGTGTGAATTTTTTAACTTTCTGGAACTCATACTTCAGTTTAATGTAGTTACAATAGAAACAACAATTGATACTGTCATTCACTTTGTGCAAGAAATCATTGCTAGTCAACCATACTATTTGGTGAGTGACATCACATATTGAACACGTGTGAAACCGTGCCATCTGTCGCATCATAGTGACTGAGGTTCTTTTCAGTGTTTATTTCATATCTAATTAATTTTATAGAAATAAATTCGATATTGATTATGTAATTACATTTCTTTTTTTGTGGGTCATTTTGCAATGCTATCAGTAGCTAGACTGTGTAACCTCAAATGGTAGAATGATAGATAAATTGAAAGGACTTAGGAGGAGGAGGATGGGGCCTAATGGAAGTACTACTCCAACATTTGCATGGAGAGATTGGAACCTGCATTTGTTTGTGTTGAAGTAAGTTCTTTAACTTCTTACATAAAGAGATTCTTTTATCGTAATTATACACACTAAATCTTATAAGGAGATGAACTGTTTCTCAGTGTAACTCTGCATGATCCCCATCTAATGGAAACTCTGATTTACTGTAAGAAAAACCGTTCCCCCAAAAGTTCTTTATATGGGAATCCTACTGTAAGCTGCTTCATTGCTTGGCTACTCTTTCAGGTGGCAAGTGGCTGCTCCTGCATGTTGCGGCCTTGTTGTTGCCGTTCACCCAATGCCTCTACCTCATTCTGGCCGCCACATCATTGTATGTCCCAATTATGGGCCGCATTGGGGCTGGCAACAATGCAGAAGTTATTGTTAGTCTTCTCATAGGAATAAAATTTGGTCTACTGTTCACTTGCATTGTAAGTATTGACAGTCTTATTCTGAAGAAACTTGTGTGTGAGAGTCTGAGGTGACCTTGCTACTGAGAACCAAGTTCTTGATATTGTACTGACCGCTCTATCATGTATCTTGACTGGTGAATGCTCATGGAATGATTAACATGGGGAAACAGAATTTTAATAAATATTGTAATGTACTCGAGTTGGTGTGACTAATAATAACTGGTTCCGTATTTTATGATTGAATTTATTGTCACTTCTTTACAATTACAACCAATTATGACAGCTCACCATCAGCGACTGTCTATGACTCGCTCCATTCTTTGATAGACCATGAGCGTCTTCTCTTCCACTGTGATGAATGACGAACGATGAATCACTGCTCACACATTAAACTGCCTTGAACGATGTCTGTCTGACAAATCACTCCTACAAATGAATTATAACTCTTTTATAACTTCCAGGTGGCTCTAATATAGGTCACCATCTCAAACAAGTTCTCTGTTATTCTGTGTCATTCGTTGCCACAGGAATTGGTGTCTTTGTTAATATTCATTGCCTAGCAAATGGACTTTCGCTTCCGTCTTTCAGGGGGTGTTTACAAAGCTGTTGCCTATCAAATGGTCACAATATGCATGTAATCATAGGTGACTATATGCAAGCTAGGAGAACTGTTTCCTTCAGTCCTGTGACATATATATGATGCCAGTTTTGTGTCAGTGTTATAGAAATAATAGTTATTCAGTACTGGGGATGCAAAGTGTTTCTGAGTTGAGTGTGTGGTAATGCAAGAAGGGAAAATGACCAAGAGTTCTATCTTATGGGATATAATGCCATGTAGTCCATCGAAAAGTAACCGACATATCAGAGAAACATGTCACCTGTATAGTTGTGTAGTAAGCCAGGCAAGAGAACAACATGAAGCAGGCAGCGAGCAAAGCTGGTTTCTTCCTTGGCTTACGCTCAGCCCTGAAGATGGAGCTGACACGTCTCTCCAAGACTTCGGTTTACTCTAGTGACATTGTCGTGTTCTCCTTCCAGGTTCCTCTCATTTTACTGGTTAAAAATCCGGACAGAGTGCTGAGTATGCTTAGCGGGTTGTTTCTGATAGCTGTTGGGCTTCTGATTCTGACTCCGCTGGGGTTCCCATATTCTGCGGATCCGGCGGCTCCTGCTCCGCAGCGCTTCATGATAGCTGTAAGTGCCAGAAATGTCATATAAAAGGAAGTGAGAAATGAACAGAGAAGAGCATTGTCATGTGTGTACTAGAATGGGTCTGTATATTCAATACATGTTGAAAGACTTACATTGTAAGATGTCACATACACATAAGCAGTACAGCAATAAAAATGTCCCTGTTTATGAAATATAATTGGCCACTTATTTCATTGAGGAGTCAGCATAGCCATGGGCTGAATGGCCCAGGTTTGATTCCTGGCAGTGCAAGATTTTCCTCTTCACAGCTTCCAGACTGACTCTGAGGCGCACCCAGCCTCCTATCCAATTGGAACATGGGCTCTTTTGGGGGGGGGCATGAAGCTGACAACTCACCTCCATCTAGTCCTGAGGTTAAGAAAGGTGGAGCTTTACCCCTACTGTCCCATATGTCTTTGTGGCATAGTGCTTAAATAGCTATACACAGGGACAACTTTTCCCCCATTTTTTTAACTTATTTCATTGTGATGCAATAGCCATGTTAGCATATTAATGCTATTGATTTGCTCGTGGTACTCCAGACAAAGCAAGTAAGAATTTTCAAGAGCACTGAGAGAGTGAAATTCCGTGTTTCATGTCTTACAGATTGCAGAACCATCCAGTATACCTGAAACCTAACACATCCATAAGTTACAGGTTTAAACTCCTGCATTGTACTTAATGTAATTTACAAATATTCTTCTCAAAAATCCTCTCTGAAAGTTGTGGTGGGCAAAATATGTACAGAATTTTCGTCATAAATATGATTAAACTTTCATGTGGTGCGGCAGCACAGTATGCCTGTGGACTTCATCAGGCAATTCCTTGATGAACCCTGGCATTAAAATTCCCCCTCATATAATTTAAAGATACTCACAGTTTTCACAGTAAATGTAGTTAAATTTGCATTGATGTGGCAACGTAGATTGGATATTCTTGCCTGTTGATTCCAGCAGGCAACACTGACAGATATGGAGATCGATTTTTCAAATCAACTGACACAGTTTTTGCAGAAAATTCAATTTAATGTTCCCATACCTTGTTGCTGTAGTGTATGTAATTTTAATAATATTTGTTTTTTTAATTATAATTTGATAGAAATTTTATCTTGGATGAAAATGCTGTATTTAATTTTCTTTTATAAATTTTTATCAAAAAGTATAGGTGCATGAATTGAGCAACTAAATACAATGATAAGAAAATGCTGATCATCGTACTTTGTGCTGTGTGTTGAAGTTCATTGTATGGGTACATTTGTACTTGTCAAAGGGTTAAAGTTAGTGATAGTGGTTGGGATTCAACCCGAGATATTTCTCACTACTAGGGTGTTGTAATAACCCCTAGGCAACCACCAGTGGTTCCAAACTGTGTATGTCAATGTACCTCAGACACTGGATATTTTCTGGCATATGATTGGTATGTGTTGCTTTGTATTTCCCCATTTTGCAAGTATTACATATTATATACAGTGTAGTTGGTTGAGGCACTGTGCTACAAGGCAGAAGGTTGTGGATTTGATTCCTGACAAGGTCCCTGGATTTTTTAATTGACCTAATCCTTCTAGCCGCACTGGGGCTGACTCGGCCTCTAACAGAAATGAGTACCACAAATCTTCCTGGGTGGTGAAGGGCAGCCAGCACATAAGGCTGACACCCTCACCACCATCTGTGAGCCAATTATCTAAAAAATATTAGAGCTTCAACATCTCACAACCCTATGGGCCTCCACAGCCTGTTTACAGGGTTACCTTTACCTTATATACAGTGTATCCTAGGTTTAATGGACTAATTGGGGGAGGGGGTGTCCGTTGTTGCCATATGTCTGCTAAAGCCAGATGTCTATATTCCTCACAAACACGTGATGGATATACCCAATTTTAATTTTTCAGTATATTGTAACACTGTTTTACACTCAGGTTTGTCTTTTTTCTTTTGTTGTCCATAGTATGTTAACTTAAAAAAAATTGTAACACAGAACAAATCAAACACAGCACAACACAAGATTAGTGTTAGAATGGTCTCTGTACCAGATAATGCATGATGTTTGTAGCACAACTGACAAAGTGCACATACATATCGACCAGACTATTACAGGGCAGTACCAACATATCAACCAGATATGATGGGGAAGTGCCAAAGAATTTTGTTCATAAAATCTGGATGTGTTAAATAGAGGATTTACTGTTTGTTGCAGCATGCAGATAGGACATTCCATGATGAAGCAGGAAATGTTAAGCATCATGATACAGGGTACTGGGTTGTCAATATGGACCAGAACAGTCCCCACACAGTGAAGTCACTAGTCTCAGAGATGACCCATATGCAGCTGGTAGACCAGGACTGTGTTCAGCAAGTGTACTGTGGCATGCCGTATCTGATGCCTGCTCTCTCGTTCATATGGTATGTTTATTAGAGCAACTGCCTGAACCAGTTCATAACATTGTAACTAGTTTCAAGGTCTCTGGCTCCCATCTGTGTCTTCATCTCTGAAATGTCTGTTTCTCAGAACTGCATGACGTTACAACCCAGAAGATAGAAATCTTCGTATTCACCAACATGAGAGACTCAGATCCAACAAAAATAAAGTTTAGCAAAGGTGTCGTGTAGTTGAAATAGAAAGTGGGAAGGTTGCTTGATGCTAACAATTAGAGACTGAGGTATATTTTGCTGATGTCGTGGGTCTGTAATGTTCAATGAAATGCAGTAGAAAAGTGATGTATTGTTGATAGGTCAGAAATATTACTCTTCATTAATTTTTGGTATCCATTCTGCACAAGCATGTGATGGAGAACACAAAAGAAATAAAATTGATTTATATCTGCAGTTAAGTGAATATCAGCACCATATAGGAGTGGAAATTTGCAAAGAAAATATGTGTACCCCACTTGAACACACCTTTTCAGTCTTTTTATAATTGTTACTATGCAGACACTATTAAAGTAGATCATTGTTTGCTAATACTTCACATGGATATTTGGCAGGAAAACCCACTGGATTCCTGGGCCCCCACCATTGATTTCGTTGCCAACGACATTGTACCTGAATAAAAGTGAGATGATATCACACGACCACAAGAGATTGACCTTCACCATTACAGGTGAGAATGGACCCTGCCTGTTGTGGGAACTCCAATATACTGGTTTTTCCCACGTCATATGTCCAGTAAGGGCAATAACTTGAATGGGCCTTGGACAGTGGGATAATAACTCTTGAGAGGATATATCTTTAGTAACTGATGCTTCATTTAGTTCTGAAGCTGAGGTTCTGTCAAGGTATTCATTTATATTTTGTGATTTCACCATACAGAAGCCTTTTGTGTTGTGATTCCAATGAGAAATACACCCATCGCCTTCACTGTGTGCCTCCATCTGTCCACAAGTATCACGTTGAATGATGATGATTTTCATAAATGTGTGAAAATCTTCTTGGGTGATCAGCGATGTCAGTGCTGAACTAAAAACCAGCATTTAAAGATCATCAGGGTCAACCCTGAGAGCTGATCTCCCAAGAAGATTTTAGCATATTTATTTGCCATGGAAGCTTCAGATCTACAGGATTTTCATAAAGTTTAATACAGGGGAACTTGCTGCTAGTTTGTTGGTTACTTAGCTTAATCTTCAACACTGAAGATGGATGCAGTACATACATCTGAAATGTCAGTAAGCATCTACCAGTCTACACAATGTCACATCCCAGAAGATGATACTGTTCATAGTCACTGCTATACAAATCACAGATCCATCATAGGTAAGGGATATCAACTAATTGAAAATGTGAAGTTGGTATTGTTTCTCTACCCAAATTATCTTGTAAGTAAAACCTGTACTCATACATATAATCATATTTCATTATGGCAGTACATCCTCGTAAGTCAGGGCGTGCTTACTGCGACTTTCAGAACTGTGGAGCTGCAGAATTGGTATTTCTGCCAGTTTTGGGTTCAAAACTGGCTAAATCTAGTATAAAATATCTCTGCTTGCCACCGTCATTGCTCAGTTCTGGCAGTCATATCTTTGTAAATATGGGGATTTCAGGGCTGTTAAATTCATGCTCATGTTAAGCTGGAAGTCCAGTTGCTTGTCTTCACCTTCGTAGCACAATCTGCTTCTTAGCATGGAAATGGATACCTTCCCCTTGCTGGTTCAGAAGAGACCAGGATATTGAGGTGTGTGCCATCAAACATTATTGACAGGTAAAACGTAAAGCTATCCCTGTAACAGACCCTGAAGGCCCATAGGAGTGTGAGACATCGAGGTTCCCACATTTTTTCTAGAAAGTCATCTTACAGATGGTGGTGAGGTTGTCAGCCTTATGCATTGGCCACCCTTTATCCCCCAGGAAGATTCTTGGTCCTCATTTCTGTTAGAGGCTGAGTCAACCCCAGGGCCATAGTGCGGCTGTAAGAATAGGTAAACTGAAAAAAAAAATGTGATGACCTCACCGGGAATCGAATCTGCGACCTTCTGGCTTGTGTGTGTGCAGGTCCAGACCACATTGGTGTGATCTTATCTCCAGTTCAGGGTGTAGTACTTGGTCATTGGAGCCTGTATGAACAAGAGAGACCGGCAGGCCCTAAGTGGAATGGACGCGATACTTATTTCATTTATTATGCTTACGCCTCCGATCCTGGGCCCTGGACATTCTCGATCGATCTTAAGGTAAATAGAATGTAGTTGCTTGTTTGAGAACAGACTGAGGGAGTTGGCTTGCATTTGACTCTCCTTCAGAAGACCTATGATTGAATCCTGGGATGTGCAGATGTCATTGAGGTTATTCTCTGTGGTGCACATCAAAATTAGAATAGTAGTATGTACATATTAGCCTCATTTTATATTACAAATGTTTAGTCTGAAAATGGACATGTTGCCTATACACAGGTCAGTCCTTGCAAATCGCTGATGAAAGTGGTATGGTAAAGGTAAAGTTGTCTCTGTGCTTACTTAATTAAGCAGCATGCCATATAGTTATGGGGGAATGGAGGTTGCTTAGCTTTTAGCTTTGTGGGATGGGATGAGACTGACTCCACTTGGTACATAGGCCAGTAATTGGCGTGTTGTGTAAACCCGGGATGATAGATGAGTTTGGAGTATTTTGGTGGGATGAGAATTGGCAGGGGAAAGCAAAATGCTCAGAGGAAATCTGCCTCAGTACCTCTTTATCCACTATAAGTCCCACATGACTTGACCTGGGCTTGAATCCAAGCTGCTGGGGTGGAAAGCTGGTGACAAACTGCCTGAACTATGGCACGGCCCAGGAGTGGAGGTATATTACCACCATCGCACTAAGAGAAAGTTGTGTCACATGGGGTAGAACCTGTCCAAGATACTTACATGTACCTCCTCCTCTGTCAGTAATCAGTTGTGGGGCAGTCTATACCATAAATCAATGACTTACACATATGTAAATACATTATTGAATGTAATGAATGAATGTATAAGGGGTGGGCCTTCTCGGCCCTTGCACCACGACCTGCAGTGATCTCTTGTGCCTCCCCTTTTGATTATCCCTTCAGGAATCCTGCGCTTCAAATGAAGCATAGGATTTTGTATGTGGGGGCGTCGAAATAGTCACTTGGTTCCATAAAGTATTGACCCAAGTGACGTAATCTTAAATAAGCTAAGGATTTACATTCACACAGGATATGTGTGGCTGTTTCATTTTCTTCTTGACACCTCTCACAAGTGGGACTATTACTTAGTCGCAGTTTGAAGGGGTGTCCTTTAGGGTGACAGTGTCCTGTAAGTAGTCCCACCACCCATCTTACTGAATGTAAGTCACAGTAGCTGCTTCCTCCAGACATTCATGATTTGGCGTGAATGCTTATATATACATGTTCATTAACACTGAGAAACATTACAGAAGCTTTCACTGATATAACGTTTTGAATAGGCATGGCAGAAATATTTTGCTGATGAACATGAAACCATGTTTGGAAACTTAAGTTAAGAGAGTGGTAATATCTGTACTACCGTCTGGTGGATTTGTAATTTTGGCAGTGATGAGGATTAAATGTGTTTAACTAGGGACCTCGCCTTTCAAACCGAACAACCGTAGATATGGCTGTTACAAGTCACTTCATGCATGGCCCGGCGCAGGTTGGAGTCCGCTTTCGTCGGTTCCTCTTGCAGTTTCCACCCTGGACTGACATTACTGCCTGGACTGCCACCTATGCATCATGGAAATTTTGACCAACATAGATAGAGGTAGACCAAACAATCAAATTTGCTGTAGGGTGCTGACCAGTGGTGCATTTATGAAGTGAATGGATGGGGCGACTGTTTCTGCTAGCATGAACTTGTGAATTTATAGAAGATTATTAATCACAATTTTAGCAGTAAGTATTCCAATTGATTTCTTCAGCTTTATCCTTTATGCAGAGCGAAACATTGCTTATATATGCACCAAATGGTTAAATAATCTGCCTTCACTCATTCCTTCCATGTAACATCCAAAGAGGCAGGGAGTGTTACACATCATAAGAAGGGGTTGACACATATCATGAACAGTTGACTGGTGTGTACCGCCTGCACAGTTCTCTTATCTCTTAGATTTAATTGGGGTAGTCCCCTTATAGTGCCACTAGCTCAATTCTAACTATGAGTACATTTTAGTAGTTCATAAACATAGTTAATGACAAAGTTTCATAGCTCAAAGTAGGTCATAATGATAGGAAGAAATGCTGCATATTGCTTCATTAAAATGACAGGTAGTGTATCTTGCAGTAACAACCAAGAGCTTTGCTGTAGAACAATATCCCTCATAGACTTTCTCTAAGAGAACATTTGTTGAAGTCCAGTGCATTGTTTTAGATGCCAAGATTGCACTGCGGTATTTTGGTTGTACATAGCAAGCAATATTATTTTGTATATTACAGAATTAAGCATACAGCATGTAATGTACATTATTTACCTGTTAAAATCCTGGTGGTTACTATATATACCACCTGCTTTCACATACTAAAACTCTGACTTGTATCCGTAGAGTGTGTTTATTTGTCGTCTCTGATTTGTGCCCACAGAATGTATTTGTTCATTTCATGTGGTTCTCACACTAAGCAGTGACTATTTCCCTAAACAACATTAACCCATTGGTCATTGTTGCAGAGACATGTTTCCTGTGAGGTACAAACTGAATTATTATATATTATTTAGAAGAAATTCAGTCTTTAGAAAAGTCAGCGGTATGTTAACGACTGAAGGTCGGTTGACCAGTCTGGCTTGGTGTCAGGCACCCATCTGGGGCCCAAGACCATGTTTTTATTACCGTCAGACAGTTGCAGATTTGTTGATGTGGGGTGCCCTATCTGATGAGAGGATGGGTCTGTTGTTTACAATTACTGCTGGCCCTCGCCAGTGCATCATATTTACTGCCTTTGAATTCAGCGGCCAATATCCTTTTTAATGCGAGTATCAGATGTAAAGTAAATTAACTTGCTTGAGATGTGCACAATTGGTAATAAGGTACAAAGAGGAAAAAATTTGGTAAGGCGAATTGGAGAGTATGCGTGAGTGTCAACAGTGACATCATATGCCACTTCATAAATTGTGAGGGCATTATGTTTTATAAAGATCATGAGATTTAATGTATAAATGAGTCTTCTATCAGTTTTATTTCAATATTATAATTCCATGGTGTGTTTCAATAAACTCGTAGTGAAACTACAGCTGTGCGTAAACTGGGGTGTACTGAGTTTGTTAGTGCAAATACAGGGAGCCCATGTGATCAGTTTCTGGCTTCAGAGATTCTTGATCAATGAAATGGCACTGGGCAGACATTTCTCCCTCTCTCCATGTGTGTGCATGCGTGCGCATAAAATAATTTATTCTGTTCCGATTGTACTAGGGCAGTCAGGAAAAATAGTCTACAAACAGCTTAAACCTAAGTTTATAAGGGAGTTTTCTGAGGCTGCCTCCCCTACTCCAAGAAAATTATTGGCACCATCCACGGCCGATAACTCAACTAATCACCTTGCCAGATTTTTTTCTCATGATTCAGCATTACAGAATTTTGAAGTAGAGATAAGTGAAATTGTGATTCTGTTTTTCAGATGTTTTAAGTTGAATTTAGCTCTTTGTATGAACTTCGCACTTTAATAGTGATGTGTGATAAGTTGGCTCTTATTAAGCATTATCCTTGTTTGAAGTTCATATTTATCTTGCCATAGTATTACTGAGAATATGGCTCACAGCTAGTATGTTATTTTGTTATCGTGAAAGTGTTCTGATTTTTTGTTTTATTTTCTCATATTTGTTTAATGCTGGGCATTCCAAAGCAAACTGTACAAAGTAACAGGTCAAGTTTCACATAGTCCTTACCTGTTTGTGTTGAAGTGTACTGAAGTTGTTGAACTAATACTGAAAATAACTTCAGTAAATATTAGTTGTGTAGTTGCGAAGATTTTTAGATGTAAGGGTCCAAAGTTATCAAAACCAGTATCTGTTGGCATATTAGGCTGTATGAAAATTTGGTGTTTATTGGTAGATCTTGAAATACCTTTCAAAATATCTGTCACATGACCGTTTTTTGATTAATTGTAGCTGTAAAGTCTAGATGACAGTGTGCCTGTCCACTGAACCCCGTATCAGATAACACAGTTTAATAGTTCTGACATTAATTTTGTTGTCATCACCAGCTTTGAGTAGTTATTTCACATGCTGGATATTATAAGTTAGAAGAGGGTAGGCACTATTTAGTTGTACTTAGCAAACTGACAGAATATAGCATGTCACAAAGATAGTTTCAGCAGGCCAAGACAGTATTACTGCAGGTGCGGCCAAATTACTCTTTTAATAGCTCGTTGACTGTGGGGTATAATTTCTGGTTCAGATGGGATTTGTTATAAGAATTACATCATAATTTTTTTAATGAACTGCAGTGTCAGTAGTTGTTAATTGTGTTATTTATTTTATGATGATGATTATGATTATGATATTATGGTGATGATTTGAGACTGTTTTTACATTTCTCATAAAGTACATCGCTTGTAAACAGAGGCACAGATATTGTAATCACTAGCAGTTTGTATCTTCCCATGTTGGCATATGTAACAATGTGAAACTGCCATTGTATTCTGTTGGTGTCTCTCGTAATCAGTATGCACCAGTAGTAGCTTGCAGGATCAATGTGACTGGTGCCTTAAAGTGAATCTGTTATCCTAGCAGATGAGGGGATCTGATGTTCAGCGGTAATTGGGGATATTGCAGATGATCTCACAGACTTGATTCTTTGAAGCTGGGCAGTAGTTGCGTTTCTGCTTATTCGCAGTTTCAGATATCATTAGGAGATTGCCATGATGCGTGTAATAAAATGTGTAGCACAGTGCCATATTGAGAACAATATTTGTCTTAATTTACTTGCAGTATACTTTTAATTTAAGAGCACAGCAAAGTAAATGTGCAATGTGATGATAAAGGTGCTATGATTGTTCAATTAAGATGTTTAAATAATATGTAACACTCATCTTTATCTGTGAAAGGTTTAGCATTACAAATTATGGATTATTGACAGTTTTAGCTGTGGAAAGATGGACCTTTCTATTGTTAAAATATAAATTTTGAAGATTGGATTATTTATTCGAACAGAGTTGTTTGTCACAGGATGGGGCTTTACTATGTTATAGAAAGATGTAGGTGATTTGGAGATGTGTTTGCTGGCCTAGAGTTAAGGCCTTAAGGTGGGGTAAGACACACCTGTGTGTCTGAAGATCATGTTTTCAGAACACAGGACCTGAGTAGACTGTCTGCAAATTGTTGTTTTTTTTTTGTATTACTGCAGAACTGTTACCACTGCACATGAACATACTGTGATGTCCTTGTGGTCCATAGTCAGCACTTACATCAGTGAAGGACACTATTTATTTCTTTATTGAAAGCCGTAACAACACAACAATTAATAATATATGTTTATATGTAGTTTCATGTAGTACTTAACTACATATGTGTTTTGGTTTTCAGAAAGCCATAATCAGGTAAATACAGTTAAAAACTTCTTTAGCTATTGAATTGTGTGCTAATTACATGATGTAGTATTAGATTTTTCAAATAGTATACAATAATATAAAATTACAATGAAAGTAAAAGTCTTAAAATGAACTAGTTACATAATTAAAATCCAATTAAGAATTGTACATATAATTATGTTTCAGAGTAGGCAGTTGTAATTGTAATAATACGTGGTGGTGCTTATGCGGACATGTTGTGTACACAGACGGTTGTTATGGTGCTCGGAGGTCCGTTGCTATATTGTACGTTATTATTTAATTTTGATATCTCTTTACGGGTGCCTCCATTTATGTGTATAGGTCCGATCTGGTGAGGAGATGAGGGTGTCTTGGAAGCCAAAACATGTAGTAAAGTACTACTTGAAACTAGATACATATATTATTGTTGTGTTCTGACAGCTTCCAACAAAAAATGTATAATACACAACAGGATGCATCCACTGGGGGGGGGGGAAGACACTATTTATTTTGTTTTATGTAATGACACTTTCAGTTCCTGAGATTTTGTAGTGTTAAATGATGGGATGACTGGTGAATAATGACTGGAAAGGATGTTTAAGGAAGTGGCCATAGCCTAATTTAATGTATTATCCTGCAATTTTACTGTAGGGACTATGGAAAACCGCATAGTCAAAATAGCCAGACTTCAGGGCTGAGGCTTAGTACTGAGCTAGATAGGTGCACTGGTGCGCCTAGCCTAAGGTCATGAACTTGATTGGTGCACTGGTGTGCCTTGCCTGAGGTCATGGACTAGATTGATGTACTGCTGCACCTATCCTAAGGTCATAAACTAGATTTGTGTGCTGGTGTGCCTAGTGTGAGGTCATGAAGCAGGGTCATCTGTTCTTTTCTGAAGGTGATTTGAATGATGACTGATGGAGCAGAGTTGAGAGGAGCACTCCAAATACGTTCCTTTTCAAATTGGTATCTCTTCTTGGTCTTAGAGTTCGTCTATTGCATATAGAAATGTTTTTAAGAGACCTGACCCGCAGTAGACATACTACACAGTGCATAACATCATAGTTGACAGTATTAATCAACAGCACAGATGATGTACTGAATAGAAGTTAAATTTATTTGTTGCCTGCTTTTCATTAAAAATATGTGCTATCAAAAGAAGGTAAATGTAAAGGTATCCCTGTAACAGGCTGTGGAAGCCATAGGGTTGTGAGACGGCTAGTCAGCCAAATTTTCTAGACAGATCACAGAAGGTGGTGAGGTCAGCATTAAGCTCTGACCGCCCTCTACCCCCAGACAGATTGCTGGTACTCATTTCTGTTAGAGGCTGAGTCAACCCCAGAGCCATAGTGCGGCTGGAAGCAGTTTAAATGAAAATTTAGAGAGTTTCATGAGATTCATATTTTACCATATATCAAAGTTCACAGTGCCTAGTGAATAGTTATCAGAGATGGAATTTCACTCAGCAAACAGATGCTACTTCTCAGTTATACATTTACTTTATGCAGTTTATGGTAAGAACTTATAAAAGCCATTAGCATTCAGATCTATAACAACTGTCAAATGTCATTGCACCAGAAGTAGATTTTCAGATCAGTTATTGGGTAATCATTTTCAGACTGTTGCAAGATTTGAATGGGTAGTGCATAAGCATACTTCGTAATTGTACCCAAATGTTCTTTATTTTTTTTTTTTCCGTCGCAGATCCACTGAAATTTTGTGATATTACGTTCAGGAAAGGGAAAGAATGACTGTATTCTCCCCCCCCCCCAACACATCAGCCTGTCAGTTACTTCCCCTCTGTGTGTTTTCTCACCCTCCCACATGATGTCACTTGTTTTCTGACTTTTGTTCCTTCTGCAGGTTCTCTTTCTTTGTATGCAATTGTGCAATGTACATGTGGTGTGCTCAGTCACAGAGGTTGCGCAGTCTAAGGCATGAACTGTCTTCATTTACTTGGATGCTGGAATCGTGGGTTCGAATCCCACTGAAGGCATCAATGTCTCTGTGTTCTTTTATTCTGTTTGTGTTGTACTGTGTCTTTGCAATGGCTGACCACTTGTCCAAGGAGTCCTACCTTCTGTGTAAAAATGATTACTAAACTAAAGATGAGGCTGGGGCCCAACAAAGGGCTGTGAACCCATTGATGAATGAATGAATGAATGAACATATGATGGGGAGAAGGCAACTCACTTCAGCTCTCACTACCCATGTTCATTTTTTTTTTGCCCAATTGTAGATACGACACAATAATGAAAAAAGAAAGGAAGTGGATACTTCATGATTAATTTATAGAAAAATACACATTAATAGATATTTGATTTATACTGTGAAGAATAATTACCATGTTTTGTAGAAAATGCTGCACTTGAATTACATTAACCCGTGGATAAGTTACTGAACAGGCTTTTGTGGCAGGAATACTCAAGACTTTATTTTAGGAGAAAGCTCAGTCCGGTTACCTGCTATTCTAATGAAGGTATTTTGTTTCTTTCCTCCGTCCTCAAGAGTAAGCTGAAATACTGCCTTAAAACAGGCACCTGATCACCTTCTTTTAGATCCTTTCCTGTTTGCTATTCACAGTACAATATAACTTGGTGCAGTTTAAACAAAATAAGAATAAATCAAGCAAGCTTATATCAGTACTTCTTTTGGCTTATTTTGGACTTCACCCATCGTCTGGTATGTAAAANGAAGTACAGTATAAACCATCGTCAGAATCCTTTCGAGCCAAGCTTATATCAGCCAGACACATTATCTATCTGGTTTTGTAGTGCATTCTTCTGTGCTGCCAGAACAGCAACATCTCTATTTACAGCTCCTTTGTGGAGCAGTGAATTTGAACACAGAACTGAAGAAAATCTTAAATAGAGGTAATTTAACACAAATGATAAATTTGCGATCATTGGAATTTAACATCAAATGAGGAGAATCCTTATCTCAAGCATTAAATGGGGGCTCCACTGTACCAGCAGAAATGTTTAGATTTTAAATAAACTGTCTCATGTTTACTTAATGTATGTGTTGAATGCATAATTAAGCATCATGCCATGGGGAATGGAAGTGCAACTCTATGCATTGTTAACCTCAGCATTAGATAGAGGTGACAGGTTAGCTTCACATCCTGGTTGCTTTAACTGTGGGGCAAGAGGCCCTGGTTTCCTTTGGATAGGAGACTGGGTGAACCCAGACTTTAAAACAATTTCTACATGGCGCCACATCCCAGAAGACGGCTTTCTTCATAGTCACTGCCGTGAAAACCTCAAATCGTACACAGATAGTTTTGTTCAGAAACTGATGTCAGGCTCGTGTCCTACTAGATGAAAACAATTAGGCACTGAAGGATATATTTCATGTTTATTGGTTAGCTTCAAGACTTTCCTATCTTGTGCACTCCAGTCATATTTTCCAATTGCATTCATTATAATTTTGCATACTTAATTGGCCTTGATATTCATTTAGTGAAGATCATATTTGTTATTACAGAAAGTTAAAGGCGCTGCACAGACACATAAATATTGACCTTAAAATGTTAAAGGTCCCTGTGCTTAACTAATTAAGTACTACACCATGAAGACATATGGGGGAGTGGATGTATAGATCCAAGTTTTCTTGGCCTTGGCAGTAGTTTGAGGTGAGTGGTAAGTATCATGCCCCTGCCACTTTACCCTTGGGGAAGGAGCCCCTAGTACCCATTTTATAGGAGGCTGGGTGAGCCCCAGAGCCAGTCTAGATGACATGGAGGAGAGAAAATTCTTTACCCTACCAGGACTCGAACTCCAACCCCTCAGCCATCCAGCCCATAGCCAGTCACTTTATCAACTACACTATCCCAGCTCCTGAAATACTGACCTTATATTTTATTAAATATTTTATCATATCAAAAACGTTTCAGATAAAAGTTGGAGATCATACTTGATCTGTATGTTATATCTTGTACCAAATTTTTTATATGAACTCATATAGTTAGTTAGTTAGTTAGTTAGTTAGTTAGTTAGTTATTGGAGAGGGTGGGTGTCCCCATGCACTGAGACCAGTATTGGTCCATCGTGCTTCCCTTTATGATATTCTACCAGTCTCTATACCCTACCGATATTGGTGCGTACCATCAGTCCCGACCGAGCCAGCGAGTTCAGCCTCTACTGGCTTGATGATATCTATAATGCTTCCCCCATCTATCAGAGGCGTTAGAGACTACTGTTGGGCGGGAAATGCCCTTGAATTTAGCTCAGTGACCTCCTTTGGAGATATGAGGTTCTTTTACGTGCCGTAAAGCTACGACACGGGACCCACGGTTTAAAGTCCCTCCCGGAGGACTTGTTCCCTNCCACCCAGCCTCCTATCCAAAGGGCACCAGGGGCAATTTCCTCATGGGTAAAGTGGCCAGGGCGTGAAGCTGGTCACTCACCATCTAGTGCTGAGGTCAAGACTGGTGGAGCTCTATCTCCACTCCCCAGTATCTCTTAATGACATTGTGCTTAGTTAATTAAGCACAATGACAACTTTGCCTTTTTACTGAAAGAAGAGAAAAAAATTAAGTTGACACTTTTTAGTGTACAGAATGCAAAAATTCATCCAAATTCATTCACTGATGTTGTAACGCCGCAAGCAGGGGGGCGTGGAGGTATCCCTCCTTGCCTCCACAGCTTATGCTGTAAGGAGTCAACACCAGAATCCTAGCTTACCCTCGGCCAGGATTCTCCGGTTTCGGGGCTCCCTTCTCTCACTTCAAGCTGCCACCATCTATTATATGTCCTATGTGAGGTGATGTAAGTGCCAAGGGCCGGTAGCACGTAGTCGCGCGTTCTCTGTTGGCTGGCCCTTTCGGCGCAGTCACCTCTAATTATTGGAGTAGAGCGGGCGTGTCTGGTCTGACCCGCCTCTACCTATCGTCTGTCCTTTTCTATCGTGGGGACTACCCCC